AAACCTATGAATCTATAAAAAACAAGTATTTTCCTCTTTTATCTAAAACATATAGCCAGGTTCAATTCTATCACAAAATGCTTAGGAAAGCATTTCATAATTTAGAGAGGAAGACAGGCCAGAGATTCAGTGATGTCTACTATTTGTTTTCAGTAACCCAAGGCAGGGTTTTTTGTGCTTCAAGGTAAAACCGTTTTCTCCTACTTCCGTTTCCTGTTTGTGGCTGAAATTCAAAATACACCCACTTTATTTCTAACCATACTAGTTCCTTCAGTGTCTCCAGATAAACAGGCTAAGGATCGACAGTTCATTTCCAGGAGCAAAATTATTCAGTAGAAGAAGAAGGAGGAGATAGAGAAGTTTAACCTCATAGTAGCAATCTCAGTACTTGCATAAAAGATACATTTATCCTACCAAGCACTTACTTTTTCCTTAATTGTTGCCATAACATCTACCAAGTCACGTGAGGCAACAGATTGTTTCAAACGTGCATCAAATTTTGGGTGACTCATCAACATACTCAGCATCTTCCGTCCATAACACCTACCACAGGAAAGGGAGAAAGGAATACGGACTATTACTGCCTTTTCCCCCTAGCCTTGTGAATAAACAAAGGAAAAGTGTTAATAAAATAAACTGATATTTTAAACTCGTCACATGCAATACATTCATGAGAAGGTATTACCTATTCAGCAATGAGAGCTTTGTACGCCCACTTATTGCTACTGCACAATGCTGCCAGCTGAACACAGGAGGCAACAGGACAACACAGGGCAACAGAAAATACAGTTTCACGCTGAAATTGTGAGTGTGCTTCTGCGGGATCAAAGGATCCCGCGGGATGAGTGCAGCACATCTCCTGCTTTGCTGTCATTGCTTATTTGCAGCATCTTGCTGCCACTGCACAATAATTTACCTTTCTTTAACTGGCAAGAGAAGCTAGGACAAATCACCTCATGCTTCCTATTTATTATTCTATACTAACATGTATGCACACAGGCAGCTAGTTGCTTATGCATTCTAGCCATGTATTAATGGGAATTAAAATTAATAATCAAAGGAAGGTTTTTTGAATTTTTTGGTTTGCTTTGGTTTGGTTTTGCTACTGTGAAACGACAGCTCTCTTCAAGAGGAAACATGGAGGTCATTCAGCCACAGACAAGAACATTAGACAATGACTGGGAAGAAAAAAATGTGACTATCATAGGCAACTACATCTGCAGAAGAGGTTTAGAAAGACTGGATCCAGTGGGTGAAGACAGCTGGAATTTTTCTAGGGCAGTCTTAGCCTTACCAGAAAGAAATGTTTGGGATCATTTAGTGATGAACAGTGGCCAGCAATTCATCTTTCCATTGGTCACGTAAGACCAAACAAAATTGTCTCACTGACTAATCTGAGCTCAGTTGATCTGAGTAAAGAAGCATTCAAGTCACAGGAATTTGGCAATGGTCCTTCTTGCTGGACCTCATGTTACCCAGTACAGTCATTGCCCCAGACAGCATGATCCACACTGTGAAGGAACTTTCTTAACATTTACTTTACCTTCCATTCTTGAGTGGTTTTATAATTTATAGCCAGACATCAAAGAGTTTTCAAATTTTAGGAGGTGAAATGAAGATCATCACCTTGTGTCCTGATGACAGTCCTGAGCAATCTTCACCACTGAGTGCACCAGCCGCTCGGTACTGTAACGCGTGCCCGAAAGGAGCTTCTTGGCTCCGGTTTGCTCCATCGCGGTCAGTAGGTGTTCGGCCACACACCTCCGCACCAGGACATTGCGGTGCCTGGAAACAAGAGAACAAAAACTGAGGCAGAGGGAAAAGAAGGGCCAGAAGCACAGGCCTCAGACACAACATGGTCCCTGTCATTGCTGGGGGAAAGAGGCATGTATTCTTGCTGCAGTTTTAGCCACCTGTAGAGGATCCTGTCCGTAGACAAACAATGCTGGCATTGTAAAGAGTTGCTCCCTGAAAGGAAGAGGAAGGCATTCAGTCTCCCTGGACTATCTGATAGTCAGTTTCTTTTCTGAAATTGAATCTGAGAAAGAGGGAAACTAAAGACAATTCACGCTGACTCATCAGAGGGCTCCCACTTCACAGACAGAGCAGCAGCAGGATTGGGGTTTATTCTACCAAACCCATATCTCCAAACCAGGAGACCCTTGAAAAAAACAAATGGGGGGAAAACCCTGTGGGGCATGAAGCTGGAGAATATCCAGATGTGCAGCCATTTGTTCTCTGAGGCTTGGCAAGATGTACGTTTAATCGTTTTACACTTTTCAAGAGCTGAGGAAAGGGTAGCAGTCATTTAAGACAGGTTGTCCTTTCTGGAGGGTGCCTATTTGTGCCTATCAGGCACAACACTAATATTTTAAGGCAGCATTTGCTTCAGCTATCCCATGGGAGTTGGTCTGTGAAGGCATTTGTACAGTGGCTCACCATCTCACGGCTAACATGCAGCATCAATTTGAATGCAAAGTGGAGCTCTAAGGACACGATGTCACACAGATTCCTCTCAGCAGGAGCTGCGCCTTCTGAGCAGGCTGTGCCACACCCCGCAGGTTCCGCCCTGCGTGCTCTGTGTCCCAGCAATTAGCCTCCTTATTTCTCAAGTTAATGGCATAATGATGATGCATGTTTTTTCTCAGAGCCTCTGTGGTTAGCGTTGTGAGATATCGAAGGGTGTTCACTGCTGGGATTGCCATTGTCTCTCTTCCCACAAAGCCACAAGGCTGTATTACCACCCTTTGCAGGGACTTTCACTTCCCCACCATTCACCACAGGCAGGCAGCATTGACAGACTGTGAGAATAAATAGGCTGCAGTAGGGCAGAAGTAGATGACAAGAGGAAAGGAGTGAGGTTGATCTAATTACCACGTTAATAGAAAATGCAGGAGAAAGGACTCCTCTCCCATCATAACCTTTATGCATCCCATCTCTTCCCCCTGCCCACACCATTTAAGGTGAAGGATATCACTAAAAGAAGAACAACGTACTGGATTCCAGTAGCCATGAGAACAGCCATTGCTCGTCCAGGAGTTACACTCCCCACCATGATCTCCAGGGATCGATTGGCTTCTCTCCAAATGAACTCGCTGGTGTCCGCTATCTTCTGGAGCAAGACTGGAACAATGTCATTCACCTCATGATCCATGTGCTTCTTCATGGTCCTGAAGAGCACTCCAACCGTGCCGATCGCAAAGCGAGACACCTTTGAGCGGAGGTTGTTCATCTGGGGAAGTCATGAGGGAAAACATAAGAATCACCTTATCAAGAAAATCGGTTCCCCTAAACAAAAGTCCCAGGAAATCACTTCTCGCTGTGTCCAGGTGGAACATAAGGGGGCAGTAAGAGTGGAAGACCACAAGCACAGAAACACACTTACTCTGACACCAGCTTCTTCTCTGGCCTCAGGCCCTCTTGTACCATACAATTTCAATGAGACTGCAGGCCTAAAAAAAATACTGTTCTCCCAGAAGTGTGCTACTTCACCCATAATGCGCACTGCATTGATTTTAGGCCCTTTTATTGAAAACAAAGAAAAAGATTAAGGCAAGGGCTGTTTTTACACTATAAAGCCACAATTCATAAAGAAAAGCTAGAGGGAAAGTAATACTTTCCTTCTGTCCAAAAACGCAGCACTGGAAGTTTGAGCAATCAACCAGGAAACAAAAAATACAGGCTCAAGTCTACAAACTAATTTGACTATTGACTAGAAGGGCTGGTTTTCATGGAGATGAGCTAAATCTTACTGTCTTCTGCAAGTAAAGGAAAAGTTACTATTTTTGGCAATCAGGTAGCAAGAGTACAAGGCAGCTGGTTCAGGTCACAGACAAGTGCCAATTTGGAAATAGAGCCACAGGTGTTATTAAGGAGCTTAGGTTGAGACCCCTTTGGAGACATGCCACTCCAATCACCCAGGGGCTGCAATGAAAAATGCCACTGGTGCACAGAGGCTGCAGATCAAGAGAAAGGGCAAATTACCAAAAAGCACACAGAAAGGAAGAAGGAGAAGACTTCATCAGGAAACAGTGGAAAATAAATACCTGCAGTGAATCTGCCGGGATGCTGAGGAAGAGAAGGAGGAAGTGGGAGGAAGCTGTGAGGCAAAAGCTCCAGTGTTTAATTACAGCTTGGGCAGAAAATCAGGCTATGGCAAATCACCTGATTACTGTCTCAGTTTCTGCATTTGTCTATTGCATTATAATAAGACCTAGCTCAAAGAGGAGAGATGCAGATGCCCTACATACCAGTAAATGTAGCTGTGTGTACAGACTGACCATATAGATAGGTGACACAGCCATTAAAAAAATTAGGACTGAAAATAGCAATGAAAGCAGACGCTGAGCACACACGTAAATGAATAAGCACGTCTCTACTCTGTGCCCCATGTAGGAGGTACAGGGGACACAATTAAACAGAATGTTCTTACCTCTTTGGTAACTGCCAGGGAAACATCATGAAGTCTAGAAAGAAGGACTTCTGGGTGGCAGTTAGCCAGATATCTGATGCTGATGAGTCCCTTCGCCTTCTGCTCCCTGAAAGGCAATTACCAAAAAGATTGATTTTTCTCATGACCCAAGAAGTAGGCAGCACCCTCTGAAACTACCAGGATGTCAGCTCAAACAAACAAAGAGAGCTGCCTCCCATGCAACACTTCATTAAATCGTGGAACTCATTGCCACAGGATGCTGTCACAGTCAAATGTGTGCATAAATCCAAAAGGCAAATAGATGGTTTCAGAGTGGATGGGTTAATTTGTGGCTATTAAAGAAGATGGCCTTTCTGAAATCCCTGGTGAACAAAGTCCCTATGTCACTGCTTCCTAGAAGCTGGGAGACTGTGCCATGTTTCTGTTCCTTGTACCCTATCCCTGAGATACGGACCCACCTGGCTGTTACTGGGGCATCTTCCCTCTTCCCCAGCCTCAGAGGGCAGCTCAGGAGTTAGAGTCTGCACTGTCACTCCACAGCTGAGTTTGCACTCTGCAATCTAGTCACTCCCTGCCATCCACCCATCCCCTGCACCTCCCCCCAGGGGTCCCCGAGTGCAACCTGGAGCCCTAAACCTGCAGCAACTCTCCCCACCTCACAAGGCACCAAACAGAAACAGGGAAGAGAAAGGGGAGAGGGGCAAAACAAAGCGATTGCATAGGGAGATGCATTATGGAAGACTTTCTCATGGTTATCCCACTGTGAACGGAGCCCTAGTGAGTGCATGCTGACCCAGACAAAAGGAAACAGCATGGACCTGCTACAGCTGTACAGCTGTACAGACCAAGGCAAATAGAAGGCTGCTCTCACATCTTTATACTGTGACTGCATTGGATTAGTTTCACTAGTTCTCTTTAGACATCTGGGCTCAGAGACTTCAGAAAAACATAATTTCTAACTTACCTTTACACTGAGAGGGAAAAAGAGTGAACAAGGGTCTTCCTTACCAGTCGCCGCTGCTGAGGTATTGAAGTGCATTCAGCAGTCCCTCTTGTGGGTGAAGGAAGGGTCTGGCTATCTGGACATCCCCATTCTCTAGCTTCTCTCCCCAGTCCAGGAAGTCCAGAGTAATGGCTGGCACCGAGTTCATTGTAAGGAGAGGGTCATACAACAACATCGCACACCCCAGAGCAAGGCACCCCACCACCCAGCGTACTCCAACCCAGTCTCCCAGCCAAGATTACACACGAGTGCAAACTGGTATTGCTTCAGAGACTTCCCTGCTGTCTGGCTTATTGCTTTCCCCAGCACCCAACCATCTCCCTGTCACCCACAGCTGGGCACCAGCTCCTTACGTAAACTTGAAAATTGCATGCACAGAGCCAGCTCCCAAGTCCATATAGGCACCACAGCCAACCCGCAGATTAGCAGTGCCACAGGGCTTGCTCTCTGGGAGCCAGTGTCACCCAGAAGGACTTGCTACCCCAGGAGTAAGCTTCTGAGATGTGCACACAGCTCCCTGTATCACATCCTTGTTGCCTGGAGTGCTGGGGACAGAGGCACACTGTAACTTTCTGAGGAAGCACCTCCAGCTGCCCTCAGCAAGCACCAAGCCTGAACCACCGAGTCCTGCTCCCCAAGGAGCAACCACCAGCAAACAGTGATACCTGACCCTCTAAATTTGACATTGCCTCTGTTTCCATTTACTTCAAGTATTCTAGAGAGCAGGCAACTGAGTGTACACAGTGCACATTTTAGCATTCTATTGGGAAAGTAGCAGTATATGGATTTTGCTATTTTCCAAGCGTTATGAATATTTACTATTTCAGAGGTACCCACTGGCTGTATTTTGAAGACGCTGAGGTGAAATGTATTTGTCATCAAATGTACTCGTTTGCAAACTGTGCAATGCCTATGCTTTCTCTTGTGGAAAAATGCAATTTCTAGTCTAGATAGTTGTGACAAAAAAGCCTTCCAAATGTGAACAGAGAATAAAAATATGTAAATAGAGATGCAAATTGTTGGCAAACACACTCTCTTGATGATAAATATACAAGGTCTAAGAAAATTCAGATGACAAATGCATTTGTTATGGAACCTATTTGTCATCAAAAGCACCATAGGTCAAAAACTTCATGTCTTGCGCTCAAAAGCTCATTTTCTAAAGTGTAGATGAAAAGAGCTGAGCTGTCTAAAAGTATTCACTATATGTGTTGCACACAATCTAGACAAACTGCTATGGACTCAGGTTTTTGTGCTACCTTGCGTGTTCTACAAGGTCCAGAGGATGGAGAAACTGTGAAATCAAAAATATTCAGATGGGGACTAACAATCACTGACAACAGTGATGTCACTGCACAGGTATGTATATAGACACATCTATATTCAATATGGAGAGCCACGTCAAGCCAGTTCTGGTCAATTTTGAACATCGGAGTAGCATCACGAGAAAAAAGCAAAGTATCATTTCTAGCTCCCTTTCCTTAACTCATGCTACTCAAGATCATAGCATGAGGTAGGCTACCCACAAAGGAGAGATGAGAATCATGATGGACTCATTATCTGCTGTATATTTATTGCAGGTAGCAAGCAGCCTGGGAGTACCAGCCAGCCTCTAGTGTATGTCATTTGCTACACACAGCCACTGTATTTGGGTGCAGTGACCAAAGAGGCACTGCTTATTCCCGGTTTGTATTGCAGGCAGCAGAATGAGAGACACTAGAAGCTGCTAAGCACTTCTAGATGCAATAGCATGATTGTACCAAGTCACTAATTTCCATGCAGAGACAACCCTTGCTGCAACAGTAGAAAAGCTAGCTGGAGAGCCAGACAGCAGCACAGGCAAAGGGCCAAAACGGCGAGTGGCTAATTGATCGTGGCAGTACACATACATGCACAGTGAGCACGCCCATCTGCCGCAAATGAAGGACGGGTCATGATGGGGTGCAAGCAATGTGTCAGTTTATTGTTACAAAGTTACAGATTATATATCTTTCTAACACCTAGGTGGGTTATCATGATTGGTTCTTCATTACCTAATGTATACGTGCGCTTATACTCTATTGGTGCTTCATGGTTAGGTTAACATTAACTACTCCTTGTTTCTATGCCATAATCCTACACAATTACCAAAGTTAATAAAACATCAAGATCTAAACACCCTGCCAAGATGGTTCCGGCCTGGTACTAGTTCGAAGGTACACAGCCCCCTCATCTGTGCAGTTTCACAGGGGAAAACAGGCTTCGCTGAGCATATTACTATCAGGGAGTTTCCTTTAGCATTCTTCTATTCAATTTACTTTTAGGCTCAGCATGCTGTCATCTCCAGGGTCGAAAGTCTACCAGCTGCAGCTTATTCCCTGAGCAGGGGGGCTCAGGCTCTAGCACGGCGTCTTTTCCTTCACCCATCGTAGCTCAGCCCTGCAGTTACAGCTGCCTCCTGGCACCAGTGTTATCAGTGGACTGTCAGTACAGGCAGAAGCTAGAGCTTAAGGCTTTACCACGCCTTTTTTTCAGTTCAACTTTCCAATGGATCTGTAAGCACGGACTGCTCTGGTATAATCAAGCTACAGTGGATCCAAAGTACATTTTCTCTCAATCCTCAGGACAGTCTTTGGACCCGAGATCCCACCCATGGCTGAGGAATGAGGCAGTTCGTGCTCCCTGTGCAAGGCAAGAGCTGGCACAGGGGTTGCAGCAGAGTGGGCTCACCTGAGGAGTTTTGCAGGAAGCCGCCACCCTGGCTGATGATGGGGATGCTGGGCAGAAAGGGCCCGTTGACCTGCTTCCTCAAGGCAGTGCCAGCGTTCACTCTACATTCATTCCTCCTGCTAGAGGGAATGGAAACCTTCTCATTGATAGGTGGTAGGCAAAAGCCTGCAGAGACCAAAAAGGACCTTGTAAGTGAAGAGTGCTGGACAGGGTGGGTATGGGCTGCAAAAGGGCTAGGAATCTTGCTGGATTCCAAGCCGAACAGTTGCACACCAACGTGGAACAGAGAATGCCATGATGGTTTCCCTAAGAAATGAGGAAATCTCAGTACTGCTTTTCTTTTGCTTTCCTGTTTCAGAGGCTGCAGAGGGAAGTTACATTTCTGGGGCTCCTCACCAGTACTTCACAAAATAATAGCAAGAAAAAGAGCAGATAACCTTCTCCAATGTCCTCGGGCTGAGTGCTGACTCTTAAGTTGGCTGCTGCTGCTGCTCTCATGGTACCACTTGCAGCAGGACAATCAGAGCCTGTCAGCTGCAATTAAGTCAGAAACGCTGCTTGCTTGTGTGGGTAAAACATAAGCAGTGGCTAAGGGCTCCAGCACAGCTCTGCAATGCAAGCTCCTTAGCAGGGTGTACTGTAAGCAGCATAACCTGTCCTATCACGTGAATGAGTTCTTTTGTGTTTTCATTAGAAATAGTTTAATTTTGTTTCTTCCAGGTTGCACCTTGGTTGAAAAGCATTCTTTTGGACTCACCCATTCACCTTTCCCGCAGGCTATTTTCCATTAGAGAGTCTGAAGCCCCAATAGAGTTTGCAAAATAGAATTACCCAGACTGAAAGACTCTGGAGGAGAAGAGGGGAAGGTGGTATTCTGTGACTGACTCTGTGTGGGCCACAGGCAAGACATTTCACAGAATCACAGAACGTTAGGGATTGGAAGGGACCTCAAAAGATCATCTAGTCCAATCCCCCTGCCGGAGCAGGAACACCTAGATGAGGTTACACAGGAAGGCGTCCAGGCGGGTTTTGAATGTCTCCAGAGAAGGAGACTCCACAACCTCTCTGGGCAGCCTGGTCCAGTGCTCTGTCACCCTCACTGAGAAGAAGTTTCTTCTCAAATTTAAGTGGAACCTCCTGTGTTCCAGCCTGTGCCCATTTCCCCTTGTCCTATCATTGTTTGTCACCGAGAAGAGCCTGGCTCCATCCTCGTGACACTCGCCCTTTAAATATTTATAAACATTAATGAGGTCACCCCTCAGTCTCCTCTTCTGCAAACTAAAGAGACTCAGCTCCCTCAGCCGCTCCTCATAAGGGAGATGCTCCACTCCCTTGATCATCTTTGTAGCCCTACGCTGGACTCTCTCCAGCAGTTCCCTGTCCTTCTTGAACTGAGGGGCCCAGAATTGAACACAATATTCCAGATGCCTCTGTGTTTTTCTTTGGAAAGCAGAAATTAATCCTGTTCGAACTTCCACGCATATGCAAGTGTAACAGCCTTGCCATTTCATCTTATAGACATTTGTAACGCCGTGCAAATAGCAAGCAAGTAAACAAAAAGACCCACAACTATAGCAACCACTTACTTTCTTTGCCTGCATCCCCAGAGTCAGCACTCTGTGCAGGAACTTGCAAGGGCTCTTCCTTTTCTCTCTCTTTCTCCTCTCTATGCAAAAGCTCCAGCTGTCTCATTCGCTTCTGGCGTATTTTCTCCTGAGCCGACTTGGACAAGGCAACACGGATCTGGTGGAAATGAAAATATAACATGGAGCATAAGGAGAGATACACAGCCATACAGAACATCTCATCAGGAACAGTGGTAAAGTGTCACAGTCTTTAATGCAGCTCCATATACATCCCAATAGTTTCAGAAGAATTCCTCCTTTCCTCGCCTTAGCATACAATTACATTCAGTGATGTGTAACACTTCATTGCCATAGCCTTCCACTCATCCACAGTATTGTTTCTCAGTCTATATCAGGAAGCCCTGATTGAACCAGGAGAGGCATAGGAGTGCCCCAAGATGTGTGAAGAGCTCATGTCACCAGTGAACAGGCAGTTCAGTTTCTACAGGCCAAGGCATGGGAATAAAACCTATCTGCAATAACAATTTGCTGTTTCTCACTGCAGGGGTCTGGACTAGATGACCTTTAAAGGTCCCTTCCAACCCAACACTTTCTATGATTCTACGAATTGCAGCTGCTTCTCACTTCCTTGCTTCTGAAGGACTCAGCTGCTTCCTGAGAAACACAGAAGTCCAAAAAAGGAGTCATGTGGAAACAAGTTGGAGAAACATTGGTCATAATGCGAGAATGAGAGGGCTGTGAGATTCAGCAAGGAAGGTAACCAAGGAAAAATCAAGCTCTCCCGTTTTATTTTGCAGCCTTGCTTACACTCAACATTATAATCTTTGCTTCTGTGCTTCCGAGCATGCACTTTGCACATGTTCACTGATGTGTAACTTGCTCTGCCAATTCAGATCTGCTGTAAATTGGCCTTTGCACATAAAGAATGCTTCTTGTGTAACCTTAGCACCATCCCCCAACCAGTGACTTCTTCACCAGTGAAAATACTCAAGTAATTGCACTGTAGCTGTCATATGTATTCCTAAGATAATCTGCTCCCCAAGACAGAAAGTTTATGATTTTCAGTGACATTTTGTGCTAAGTGCTGAACAGTCACTGTAAAGGAAGCCTGCTCACCCCTGGCCTCAGCCCTTACCTTGCCATTGCTGGTGTTTGAGTCATCACTCGGAAAGTGAAGGTTCACAGGAGGATCCATCTCCTCAACCTGGCTGAGTGGGAGGCCTGTTAACGGGGGCACAGGTTCACATGAGCGTCCAGCAGAGCTCACACCACAACCACCACGATGCTGGTGAACAGGCAAGAGAGGTTCCAGAGTCCGGAGCTCTGATAAGACATGGATATAGATCATGCATGAGAACAGCAAGGAACACACCACCTCTCTGAATGGATAGGGTACTGCCATATTGCACTGGCAGCAGAAATGACATCGCTCGAGAACAGCAAGGAACACATCACCTCCCTGAACGGATAGGGTACTGCCATATTGCACTGGCAGCAGAAATGACATCGCTCTGTTGGCCATCAGACCCAAACCTACTGCATGATAAAGACCTCAGACTTTGGCTTTGGGTGAACTGCTGTGTTTGACAGAGGAAAACAGAGACATGGAGATTGTCCTTGCCAAAAGGGTTCTTATCTGTTCCCTATCCCTTTTGATTTTAGTAAACATCCCTTTTTTCCCAGTTACTAGACCTACTCATGGCTTTTAATAGCTTTCGTAGAGGTAAGAATCGACATTTCCTCCTCTTTGCTGGAATATCTCAGAGGGCATTTAAAAAAACACTTAGGATTGCTGGATTGCTTCCTATTGCACAATGTTTCATTGTTCCTCTCACTGCAAAAATAGGCCATGTTGTTGAATATACTTCAGATCAAATGATTTGGTTCAGAAACTGCTCCAAGTAAAGGTTTTCTCCTTCAAGTACAGGAAGGAGTGGGAACATTTCTCATTTCATAGGAAATACCTCATTTTTCTCAGATCTTTGTAACACTAGAGAGCATGCAGGGAGATAAAAAGTTATGAGCATGAGGTAGAAGAACGTTTGTTTTTCCTGCTATGCATTTCTGAGGCCCCAAGGTAGCCCTCTAGCTCCTGCCATTCATAACCCCATGCTAGAGTCATTTTCACTAGATCACCAGAGCACATTTCCCAGCAACTGGGCACTGGGGGTGCCAAAAAGTTACAGAATGGTCTTCGACAAAACTTTCACAATGCCACCCATGGGTCAGGATTCCTATGTTCATTTCAGGGCAGACATGCCCTTACCTACCTAGAGATTTAAGGGTCTCCACTTTGCTTCTGCTGCCTGATCTTGGCCTTTAAGAAAAATCAAGAAGAAAAGAATAGATGAGGAGAAGAGAGTGGGACATGGGTCAGCATTAAAGAAGGTAAACTTTCTTAGCAAGGTGATTCTGATGAGGGAGAAAGTGCAACCCATCAAACTAACAATATGTAAAGCTGATTAATTGCCATTAAACTTTCAAGTTGCTGGAGTCACACAGAGCACATCAAGCTGCAACTGAAACACAGGAGTCATTCTTCAATTTGTGCCTTAACTATCGAGTTCTCCTGTCTCTCATTTTGGACCTATGTCTCTCACTGTGACATACGTCCTTCCCAAGTTAGCAAGATGTTAAGACGTTAAGTCAATCATAAGGCTGTATTTAGGGCAGCTATCTTTATACTGCTGCAGGAGCTTAACTTTGCCTGGCTGTGCCTTCAACTGATGATAATATCTCGTTACACATACTAATACCACTGCTGTCACCTGAGAATAGTACTACACCTTCCTACTCTTCCAAGAAGAGTCAGGGCTTTTCCGACTCAGCTGGGTAGGAAAGTATATTCAGATTGCACTTTAAAAGCCATGCTGAAGCTCTTAAATTGGAACTGTATTTTATGAATCCTTATTTATTGTTATAACTAGTACAAGGCTGACAGGTAGATTTCCCGACACGTATCCAAGCAAATATCTTTCCACCGGTTACAGACCTATAACTGTTCTCCACCACCTTCCACCTTTTGATCTTAAAACCAGATGTAAATATTACACATCTATAGGATTATACAGCTATAAACAGAGATTTATCTGGGCTCTCATTTCACAGTGAAGGCCCAGATACAGAGAAGTTACCACAGCCATTTACAGAAGCAGCATCCAAATTTCTAGACAGCTCTCCAATAGCCAATGTGACCCTGTGCCATAAGATGAACCATCGGGGAAGACGCCCAGCTTGGCTGAGCGGGGAGCTTTTGCTGGAACTCAGGACAAATAAAAAAAAGGAGAGTTTATTGCTTTTTGAAGAAGGGCCAGGCAACACAAGAAGAGTACAGGGATCTTGTTAGGTCATGCAGAGAGAAAAGTAGGAAAGCAAAAGCCCAGCTGGAACTCCATCTGGCCACTGTCGTAAGAGACAACAAAAAATGTTTTTACAAGTACATTAAGAACAAAAAGAGGGCCAAGAAGAATCTCCATTCTTTAGTAGATGCAGCAGAGAACATTGCTACCAAAGAGAAGAAAAAGTATGAGGTACTTAATGCCTCCTTTGCCTCAGTCTTTATTAGGCAGACCAGCTATCCTCAAGGTATTCAGCCCCCTGAGCTGGAAGACAGAGATGGAGAGCAGAATAAACCCCCCATAATCCAAGACAAAGGAGTTTATGACCTGCTTTGCCACCTGGACACTCACAAGTCTATGGGGCCAGATGGGATCTACTCAAGAGTACTGGCAGAAGAGCTCGCCAAACCACTCTGCATCATTTATCAGCAGTCCTGGCTAACCGGGGAGGTCCCAGATGACTGGAAGTTTGCCAACATGATACCCATCTACAAGAAGGATCGGAAGGAGGATTGGGGCAACTACAGACCTGTCACTCTGACCTCGGTGCCAGGGAAGGTTATGGAGTGGTTCATCTTGAGCGTGCTCACATGGCACGAATGGGACAACCAGGGGATCAGGCCAAGCCAGCATGGGTTCATGAAAGGCAGGTCCTGCCAATCCAACCTGATCTCCTTCTATGGCAAGGTACCCCGCCTAGTGGATGAGGGAAAGTCTGTGGATGTTGTCTACCTGGACTTTAGTATATGCCTTTGACACTGTCTCCCACAGCATTCTCCTAGAGAAGCTGATGGCTCATGGCCTGGACAGGTTTATTCTTCGCTGGGTTAAAAACTGGCTGGATGGCCAAGCACGGAGTTATGGTGAGCGGAACTAAATCCAGTTGGTGACCAGTCATAAGTGGTGTTCCCCAGGGCTCAGTACTGGGGCCAGTCCTGTTTCACATCTTTATCAATGATCTGGATGAGGGGATTGAGTGCTCCCTCAGTAAGTTTGCAGATGACACCAAACTGGGTGGGAGTGTTGATCTGCTCGAGGGTAGGATGGCTCTGCAGAGGGACCTGAACAGGCTGGATCAATGGGCTGAGGCCAATTTTATGAGGTTCTACAAGGCCAAGTGCCGGGTCCTGCCCTTGGGTTACAACAACGCCATGCAGTACTACAGGCATGGGGAGGAGTGGCTGGAGAGCTGCCAGGCAGAAATGGACCTGGGGGTTACTGGTTGACAGCGACTGAACATGAGCCAACAGTGTGCCCAGGTGGCCAAGAAGGCCAATGGCATCCTGGCTCGCATCAGAAATAGTGCGGCCAGGAGGAGTAGGGAAGTGATTTTGCCCCTGTACTCAGCATTGGTGAGGCTGCACCTTGAGTACTGTGTTCAGTTTTGGGCCCCTCACTATGGGAAGGACATTGAGGCACTGGAGCCTGTCCAGAGAAGGCCATCAAAGCTGGTGAATGGTCTGGAGAAAGAGCTTTATGAGGAGAAGCTGAGGGAGCTGGGGTTGTTTAGTCTGGAGAAGAGGAGATTGAAGGGAGACCTTATTGCTTCCTACAACTACCTGGAGGTTGTGGAGAGGTGGGTTTTGGTCTCTTCTTCCTGGTAGCTAGTGACAGGACAAGAGGAAACAGCTTCAAGTTGTGGCAGGGGAGGTTTAGTTTGGATATCAGGAAAAATTTCTTTACTGAAAGAGTGGCCAAGCACTGGAACAGGCTGCCCAGGGAGCTGGTGGAGTCACCATCCCTGGAGGTGTTCAAGAAGCATGTGGATACGGCACTTGAGGACATGGTTTAAGTGGGCTTGGTGGTGTTAGGTTGACTTGATGATCTTAAGAGGTCTCTTCCAACCGTAATGATTCTGTGATTCTCTGATTTGCCCTAACATATTCTTGCAGGTACAGATATTGGCAGTCAAAGATCACACACAAGACCAAATGCGGTATTCAGATCCATGCAATACAGTTCCCAAGTGGCACCAAAAAGATCAGAGGGAATCTGCATCAGAGTGCAGCAGAGAACCTGCTTTTAAGGTCCTCCTAAGTCCTGCCTCCTTCTCCCCATGGTCACCCCTGCTCTTAAGAGCGTAGGCTGTTGGTTTTGACATGATGCTGAATCATGGTAGATAAAAAAACATGGTGAGACCACAGAAGTTTGCAGGAATATATTGGAGAGCTGACTGCGGAAAATAATCTCATGAGACGAGAAGTGCAAGGTGAATGGCATATTGGAGAAGCAGAAACCTTGGCTTACCTCATCTTCAGGGCCTTTTGGAAAACCAGGTCCTGAGGCACTGCAGCACTGCCAGGAGCCCCATCAGATGGTCTTGCTGACTTGAGGATAGGGGGAAGCAAAGCTACTCCCAGTGACTTCTTCCCATCCTCATCACTGCAATACGAGGGCAGCAGGGAAGCCTGGAAAGAGTAAAATACAGGGATCATCTCGAGGATCCAGCCTTCCCCCTTGATGCCACAAGAAGTTTAGCCACGCTCTTAGCTACAACTTGGTAGGAAAATTAAAACTGATGGAGTACCTTGGCCTGGGATGGGCAATGGAAGGGGAAGTAGTGAGGGAAAGACTGTGTTCCACACTGTTGCCAGCTCTCTCCCCTCACTCACCTCTCTGGCAGTGGCTGCGTTCCCACCTGCCACCCATCTGCTTGGAAAAGGATGTTCTGGGGTGCTGTTGCCTCTGTTAGCCTTTCTGATGGTCTGGGAATGTGTTTAGGTCACTATCTTCTCATCGTCTCTACAGTGCCTACCAGCCATTGCTGAACTCCAACCAAGTGTCCACAAAGTCATTTTACACGCTGCCAAAACTTGCTTTTCTCAAGCCCATCCTTTTTTCTGCTTCTGCCCTTCCTACAGTCCCTCACCAGCCTTTCGGCCCAGATGCTATTGTGTTGTCTGATTGCTTGGTGCTCTCCAGCTCCCACACAATTCATCATTTCAGCTCACTGTCATTTATTAAGTTCAGCACAGCTCCCTGCCCTGTTGCCCTGTGTAAGGTGTCTCTGTCTGCTGAAATTACTTCAGGGTCCCCATGCCATGGCTAGGAAGGAGGATGGAGGGAGCAGGGATACACACATCCTTCCTTAGTATCCCATTGTTCTTGTCACAGCTAAAAAGCCAAACCAGGACCTGTTCAAATGCCAGCAAAGTTAATGTCAGGAATACTTTTGGCCCTGTATCCACAAAGATGAAATAAAGCCTTTTATTGGTTATCCCATTTACAAAAGCTGTTATTCTTCTACCTTGTCCTGCCCACCATGGCAAAACCAAAACAACTGCAGCTTCTGTCCCTCCTGCAATGGCAACTGAGTGGATGGGATCTGCACTCCATTCACATGGTCAGAATTGCCAGTTTCCATCACTTACCCTTGGGCAGACCCATGGGAAAGGATGAAGCTGCACAGAAGCCTCTGAACTCTAGAAATATGATGAGAAAGAACTGTGCAGAAGGACATGGCTGTACAACTCAGAAGCTGAGACAACCCAGAGCTGAGTTTGCTGCACTGGCTGCTCAAGCAAACATCTTTTTTCCATCTAAACTAGACAGAATTGATATAAAAAGCCACCAAGACACTGGTGTGTCCACAACAGTAACCACCACGTATGGATGGTTCACAGACACGTGTATTTTACTAACTATAGAAAAATACGCTTGACCAGATTAGACATATTTAGCTCCTCTGACTGGTTGCTGGTCTTTTCTCAGTCATAAAACATAGCAGGAGCTACTACAGAGCACAGAACTTATTTAAAGACCTCTTCTCCTATTGACATACGCTGAGGACATGAAGTCTACAGTAGGCATGTTGTAAAAACAGCCTGCATCTCAATGTCCAGCTGAGCTCTTCCTTGGCCCAGCTGCTTCCCTGGGTTTGCATCACAGGGAAAAATCTCAGAGCTCTGCCTACAGGGAATAAACTGAGGATCCAACACACATGATTTGGCTTCATTTCCTTACTTGGTATCCTTTTGCTTCTGACATCAGCTCTTTGTTATTCCCATCACCGTCATCACAGCCTGTGTCATTTTCCCCATATTCCTGCTCTCTGCTGCTCATCCTCCTGGGGTCTGAGAAAGGATGGCTGTTCTGGATGAGAGGCATGGGCTTGGAGGTTGTCAGGAGCCTCTGGGAAGCTGATTTGGAAACTCCTGGCTTCAGGGTAACAATCTTAGTGTCACTGCAGTCAGTCAGGCCTGCAAAGCAGAAACACAAAGTGTAAGAGAAGCAGCACTGCAAACCCAAAGCATCTGAAGCTAGATACTGCATTGGACAGATTTCTTGGAAACTTATCAAAAACTGCACAGAGAAATACGCTTATGCTGGCAGCCACTTGAAGCAGGGCAGTGAACACCACTTACCTGCTTCCTCAGAGCTACCAGAGGAATGCCCTAGTCCTCTGGGCTGCTGTCAGATGTCAGGAAGCCCATAGACCTGTGCCTACCTGTGTCATCTGCGCATATGTCCTCCTAACCCTCTCCCTCCCCAAAGTTGTACACTCCTATAGCAACAGGAGGGCTATGCAGGGGATCAAGAGCAGGGAAGGTTATTGCAGAAGGGACATGCAGGGGAGAACTGTTCACTGGGAACATGTGCTTACTCTCTAGGCTGGGAAAAGACCCTTCTTTCCACAGGAGAGTGGGCAGGCTCCTGCCTTACCTCTCTGTGAGGTTAACAGATTCTCAGTCATCCTCCTCATCTTCAGATTGCCCTTAATCTGAATGGTTGCCAGGTGAGCACTGCTCACCTCCCTCCCTTGGGGGCCCTGGATCAAGGCTTGGTGAGAAAGGCGGGAGAGATCAAATCCACCCTCAGCACTGAGGTCATGCACACTGGCCTTGCTGACGCAGCCATTCAGGGCAGAGGTGACCCTTGGGTATGGAGGTTTCCCAGGTCCATCCCCACATCCAATACGGATTGAAAAGAAGTTGTAGATCGGGTAAAAGGGAAGAAGTGAGTTAGTTGACCTCACACCTTTACAATCAACCCATCTAATGAGGAAGGAGAGGTTGAAGGCCCCAGTGGTAGGAGAGGAAAAGCAATTCCCATTTCAGGCCTTGGCTTCTGTGAAGACTACCAGTAAAGACCCACATACTGCTACTGGGATTGCTGGAAAGCAGAAAGACATCTCAGCAAGCAGACAGACCTTGCCAGTGTTTCTACAGCATGATCCCATCCTTGTGGTCAGACCTGATGGGCAATCAGAGGAAGAACTGGGAATTCACCTATGCTGAGGCCACGCATCAATAACAAGGACAGAAAAAGACCTCACATCTCATTACCATGCAGAATTTATGGCTAGTTGAGCCACAGTTCCTGTCCTGGCTGGCACTAGTAGTGATTTGGCTCCTGTTGACAAAGGAGAAAGTATCATGAACTAAAGGAAGAGAGATGTGATGACAAGAACACCACTGAAGGAGGGCAGGATCATCTGCAGCCCTCTTGTCAGCCACTTACTCTGACACAGAACCAGCATATGAGGACTGATCTCCAAGGACCATTTCTCCCTGAAATACTTTTTTTTCATTTGGCTGAGGCCACTATTGCATATTTAACCCCTTGCCATCCTCATCTTCTTCTTTAGTGGTCCGGCTGCTGCCACAGACCTGCAAGTTCGAACCAATGCTTCTGCCTTGCCGAGCTGTGTACCTGGGTGTGAATTGGGGAACGCTCCCCCAGTAGACAGCAACTGGGGCGTGGTACTTAGCTTTAAAATAAGGACAGTACAAATGACTCAAATTTGCAGCATTCCTTAGGGTTTGCCTGCATTCCAGCACTTCCACATTTCACATTATAGCCGAGTGTTCTACAAATTTGCGTGTGTTTCACTAGTTACCCATTCACAACTACAGGACTTCTTTCTTCTCCCTTCACCGGGTAGACAACCCACAATGGTCTCTAGAACTTGACAAGGTCTAGTAAATAGATGCTTTCCAAAGCTAGTTTGAAAGTCCTTTGTTTCAATAATTCCCCTTCAATTTTGGGTTGGGTTTTGTTGGGCTTATTCTTTCTTTTCCCAACAAGGAAAGTACTAGGGCACAAACAATCACTAGATGTTATAACTAGAAGGTTTGCACTCTGCATTATGTGTCCCCAGTATTCAGTGGGCTTGATTACTGTATCTGTAGGATGCAAATGGCCCATCCAAACCTTCTCCTTTGTTCTGCTTCACTGTTACAGCGGTTTATTCCCTGCTTTCTTTACAAAACCAACATAAAGATGGCCTGCCTCAAAAAATTTCCAATCTTGACTGACCCTGAAAATTCAAAATTATAGGCAGCTTGTCTCCCTGTCTCTTGTCCTTGCCAGTCTCTTCCCCATCACCCAGCCTCTGAGGCTGGGCTCTCACTTGTACAGCTTGAAGAACAGCTGCTGCACTTGCCAGCATCTCCAGGGCCTCTTGATTAGTGCTTTGAATGCAGCTTTTGTACACGCTCTGCCTCCCTGCGCCAAGCAGCATTCCTGGGCACCAGTACTGTCGCTGCAAGCGAACATCCTCCAGACAAAGGCTGCAGGAATGGGATTGCAGCAAGCCCTGGCTGAAGAAGCCTTCAGTCTGCTGCAGCCCCTACCTGCTGGAAAATCTTCTTGTGTTTCCACGGCGAGGGAACAATGGGCTCTTCACAGATGAGAGTGTGCTGCAGGTCACTGGGCCTGATACAGCTGCTGGTGGCTTCCCCTGCAGCATCAGGAACCTTCATGGAAAATTAACACTGCCAGTGCAGGTGACAGCCACCGATCCCTGGCATTGCCCTGCCTACAAGCATTTCTGTGTAGAAAACTGCTCAAGTCAGGTGGTGTTAGAACAAAATGAAAATCTATTCAAGCTATGCATTTTCCACATTCTGTCAGAATCATGGCTATAAAGTCCAAATGCTGGAGGAAGGCTGCTGTCGGCATAATGGGGGATACAAAACTCCACTCCAGCAGCTGCTGTGCCCACAGCTGCAGAAGCACGGCAGCAGAGGCAAGTCTCTACCCGTGCCCACAGCTGCTGGGCTTAGTGCAGCACATTGTAGTTGTTCCCACTGAACTCAGCACTGCTGCTGCAGCAGGAGCATCATTTCAAGCATTTGATAACAAAGAGATGTAATGGCACGCTGGACTTGCCTGAAGAACAACTGAAAAAATGAGGGATAGAATAGTTTGTTCCTTTTTAATACAAATGTACTTGGATTCAAGCGGGGCCACTGGGCTAACTATACTGGAGACTGAAGTGTGACTCCTATCTCTAGCACTTTCCACCAGTATTTTTTCTGTAGAAAAGGGTAGATAAGATTTTATGACACATCCATGAGTAATTCTGAGGCACAACTCAAACTGCAAGCCAAATACGTCCAAATCTGCCACCCATTGGGAAAGGAAGGAGAAAAGCAATTGAAACAGCTGCCATTGGAGCTACATTGCCTGCATTTATAGTGCTGCCAAGCACTTGCAGCACCTCAAGAAGCCTGAGGCTATGGCATAACCCATATTTAGGGATGCCAGCTATCCAGAAATTATCTGTCTGCCATGCTTACATCAGCAAATGCACACACCACAGAGCTAACGGTGTTGTAGACAGTGTTAGAGTGCACAGAGTATGTGAGGGTAAAGGAAGTTCATGCTTAGTCCTTCAGGTTAGTGCTGTAGCAAAATGTGAGCCTTTTCCACTTCGGTCCCTGCAGTCCGTTTCCTTACTAGTTTGGTTGCTTTAACTTCGAAACTCTATTGAGATGTCTTTTCACCTTCTGACAGAGACTTCAGTCACCATGCAGGACTTTTCATTCCTTAAACGTATTAGCCTATTTGTTATGGCCTAAGTGAGAGGAAAGAGGGGATTTTGAAGAGCGTACATTAGGATAAGAGGTCAGGATGGTAAGCCAGCAGTAAAATTCCTACAAATGTCAGTGTGAACTGCTTTTGAAAATCCAGTCATGGGAGCCCATGAAGCTCTGCAAACAGAACGACTATCATGTCGTAGCTAAGTGCAGCCAGAAGAATCAGTCACAGTCACAGTTCAGTTAAATTATTACAGAAGGAAAAAATGCCGCTGTACTCGATGGAAGAAGCAAAGGCAGGTCCCTATTAATGTGTTCTGAAAGCTTAAAACAAATAACAAAGAATGCCTGTACAAGGACTTTAGGTACCCTCCTATCAGTCAAACTTACAATCAGATAAAATCGTATCCTCAAGCAAATTTCAATAGAAGTTGTTCATATTGCAGCAAAGCCCTGTACTGCCCCACCCCCTGCCCAAGAGACAGAGCTCTGCTCAAAAGCTGTCAAAGCCTTCATCTGAAATAAAGCAAGTTATCTCAGAAAGGCTAGAGTTAGCTGAGACAGTTAACCCACTTCTGGCTTTCACCCTTTCTGTTAGTCGACATAAATTCACAGAGACAGCTTTAGGTCAAGGAATGAATGTGCTTCGAGGGTTTTTAGAGTCTAATTCCCATTACTTTCCGTGACAGGCAGGCACTAAATACCCTTAAAAATACAAAGGTAGGTCTAGTTGGGCTGTGTACTTTAAAACAAGGAATAGAGCTATCATTCTGAGTAGGACTAGGGCATAAAGCAGGGATTAAGGTGTATTTTCTTTGGTCTCATTGCATAGGACGAATATCTAAGAAAGATGCTAGTGGCAATTTTGGCTGGTTAAGATCACCTCCTAAATGAAGCTGAGCATGCCCCATTGCTTAAGGTATAAAAAATGCTCAAGAGAAAGCAGTAAGAACCAGAAATTAGTGTATCCTGTAGCTAGGATAGAAGGCTGCCTCTGCCATTGACTTACCCTGTAATAGAACTGAAATACCCTGTAACACAAAGCCAGGCCCTGCATGCCTCAGTTTTGATCTCCTGCCATGCTGTCCTACCTAAGTGCTAGCATGCTACAAACTGTAACTAGGAAGAGCATTACTTAGGGCATCTCCATGGCCCCCAGAGGCTGAATTGCCTAAATTCAGGGCACAGGTCTTAATTCAGGCCAACTATGTAATATGGAAAACCCCAAATGTACAGCTATGTAGGGTGACCCCTTTCTCCCTTGCACCAAAACTACTGTAACTGGAATGATAATGGCAGAGCAATTTGCCTGCAGCCTGAGGGAAGCGCTGGGTGTGCAGGATTCATTTGTGCCACTGCTGATAGGAGCGTGGAAAATAAGCTTGTGCCATGATCTGTACAGAGGAGGACAGTGACAGTGGTTCACTGCTGAGTGGAAAAGAAGTGTTAGAAAATGGCTTTCTGAAGAGGACAAAAATGGAACACAGCTGCATCTGAACAGCTCCAGGCCCTGGTGATGTTTCAGTAGACAGGAACTATCCTCCTTGTCATCCTTCTGCTGGGTTAATCAAAAGGAAATGCATCCTCCGGGATTTTCAGCTTCTTTGGATCATTCGCACCCAGTAAATGAAAACAGAGATTAATTAATGCTATCATTACTTTCTTTCCCAACTAACAAGCTATTTCTCTGCTGGCTTCCCAGAGCAGCAAACATACAGTAGTGTTATGTGAAACATGCCAATGCCAACAACCCTACAGAGCCCATCAGGATTGGAGCCGCTGTGGAGGTTGAACCCTCCAGGGAGAGGGTTCTATCTCACCAGGCAGAGGGTTCTTGTGAGGATAAAATGAAACTGGAGTGACAACAGTTGTCTGAGGCTTTATTTGGCCAGTGCATTTCAGCTTACAGGCCCATAATACATCTGTAGCACAAAGTCTGTATGTAGAGTACAAAGCCATCACCAAGTGGAACTGGGCAGGCTCCCCAGGCCTGTGGGAGAATCACGAGGCAGATGCCTGGGCTACTAATTGCATCCCTCCCCACTTTTCTAGGTTCTTGGTGTTAAAGACACATAGGTTAGACACACAGCTCACAAGAAGTGCTCCTGTATCTTTCTACACAATGACCCAAATGAGATTACACTTCCAAAAGCTGTTTTCTCTTACCATTGAACTTACTGTTTCGAAGCATTTCTGAACCAGCAAGCTTGCTTCCTCAAAGATTAACTGTGCATGGCAAGGAGCAGAGACAAAAGATGGAACATGAAGAACATCACCCATGTGATGCTCTTTTCACAACTTCTGCCCTCAGCTTTCATTTGAAAGATTTCAAAAGTTCAATACCCCTATCAAAAGCTCCTGCAATTACTGCTTCTCAGCAGAGAAGGGTTGCTCAACCATTAAACAAGAGTTATGATAAGCAGCAGCTTACCTGGGGCAGCAGATCAAGAGTTAGGAATAAGCTGATCTGAATGCCAAACCTCATTAGCTCCTTCAGAAAGCACTTGAACAATCCCTCATTCCAGCTCTAACGAGGTGGTGTGCTGGACACCATGGTTATCTGAGTACTGTACAAGCTTGCTCCCATCGAGTGCTGCGACCGTCTCTGCTGGAGCTGCTGCCAAGGGCAGTCACTCCCCAAAGGTGGGTGATTGATTGCTCTGTGGGCACCTGTGACTGTTGGTCACAATGAGATGAGAAGAAGCCGAGTGCACTGATGCAGCTTTGCCTTGAGTGTAACCCAGCTGCAACCAGAAGCGTTGAAAGGTTTCCCCTCCTTACCGAGGCACTTTGAACAAGACCCTGAAACCACGAGATCCCAAGTCCATGCAGGGTTTTGCAGAGCACCTCATGCAGAGAGATCCTTGCCGTGAGGGGCCTCTGGATGCTAATGCTGCACGTCAGGAATGCTGCGAGTGCTAGCACTAGAAAAAGCATATAGCATCAGCTGCTGCTTCTCTTCTGAGAGCAGGTTTTCATGGCACATAGGATTTCTGCCATGAAGGACTCAAGGAAAGGTTCTCCATGCCCAATACTCAAGGCTTGGGTACAGAAACAGTCACAATCAGCACCTTGAACTAATACATCTTCAAATTAAGTCCAACCAGTGGCCCATGTCTTGAAATGTTAGGCCAGCCGGTTCGCATCAGTTTTTTGTGAGAGCATTTTCCTTAGAAATATCAGACTTGCCTCCCTTGGGGCCATTCTCTTAGCTGCCTCAGGTAGAGGGGTCTCTTACTCAATACCCCTGTGTGAAGCCATCCCAGAGGGCTACTAGAAGACATTCCTTGGCCAGTAGTTTTCTCCTACTGGTGCCCTGCATACTGTTCCACACATCTTTCATAAAGCCACAAACTAACTCCAAGCACTGACTACAGCAGGTTTCCACCAACAGCTGCATAAATCCAAGATCACTGCAAGTGAGCATCCTAAGGGCTATGTCCTGTTTCTGTGTAATCATCAGGCAGGGAAATTCTCAGTGATGTGAAGCAATTTGTTTCAGCTGCGACAGGAGATCTGAGTTTCGTACTGCAATTTTTCATTACGAGTAACGAACACAGAGTATGAGGTGCGTGGCTGACATGCGAAAGCAGGAGCACATCCTCTAATGAGACCAGTTTAATTGTCCATTTTATTACTTTCATATCTATTCCACTGAAGTCCCAGTACTGCTCTTTGTGCTGTAAGAACCTTGAAATACAACAGTTCCCATTGGTCAGAATTTACTCTCTGGTCTTTACAGTATTTAAGCACCTCTGTCTTCTTCAGGGCCTAAGTCCACCATCCAAGCAACACTGGAATAGTTAAAGCCTCCGCTCACCTAACCTACAAGGTATCACCTAACTCCACAGACACTTAA